AGGTTCTCTGTCCAAGGGCCCACTGAGCTGAATGACCGATCCCTCCCTTCCCTTCTCCTGTATACCCTAAGGAAGGGAGTTGCACTTCAGTGCCTCACCCCCAGCCCTGCCTATAAGGCACCGTGGTGTGGGGAGTCTCGAGCAGAGTGGTTCAGAGTGAGGTGCTCTGGGTTCCAATCTCAGTGTGGGCGTTTGCTACCTTTGCCCAAGTGTCTGCTTTGCTCTGGCTTCTTGCACTGAATCTGCCTCTGTGGCTCCATGCCTCCCTGGGCACAGACTATCCTTGCCCTGGCACACAGCAGAGTGGTCTGAAAGGGTCTGCTTGTGCAGTGAAATGAGGTGCTTGTTGCAACGGGAACACCAGCAACTGCACTGCCCATCCTGCCAGCCCCGGTCTACTCAGCTGTAGAGTGGGGAGATCGACTGCCCTGTATACATATAGCCCACATTTTTGGAGCTGTTTCTCCTTCTGAGTGCTGGCTCACCCCCTGATGATCAATAAATAGAAGCTCCTTCTGGGGTCTTAACCATAAGTACAGTTCTACAAATTTTTTCTTTTCTCATTTGGTGTCCATTAAGTTGTGATTAGTAATAATCAAAAGGTGATTAAAGATCACCAAAAGCATATCTCTATTTTAGGGTTTGAATGAGAATTCTGGCTACCCACAAGACCAAGTTCCTGAGATGTGAGCTCAGTTTTGAGCTCCCGGCACGTGGGGAGCACCCGCTGCTAGGATGAGGCCACGGCTGTGGCCTTCAGCAGGCTATGTTCTCAATCACGGCTCTCTGGCTGGTATGAGGTAAGCCTTGCAGCTCTGTTCATGGTCAGTGGTTGCCTGGTGAGGATCAGTGACACATGCGTACACGAGTGGTAATAGGGGTCTGGGGCTTTCCAGTAACAAGGCTTTAAGCTCCGAATGCCTGCCAGTGCTAAAGCAGACACACACATGAACTGCTCCAAATCAGCTGGTTCAGGAGCACCCTGTGGGAGAGGGACCACCTACCATGATTTTGGACCATTCAAAAAGCTTGCCACATCATGGCAGGTGCACAAAACAATGGCCCTGGGTGATTTTAGATTTACACAGCATTGTTTCAGGAGATAAGATCATGGGCACATGTGTGCCCTTTTCTGTCCTGGAATAAATGCACAGTGACTCAGAGCTGTCATTAGGAACAAGTCTGTTCAGCTTCTGATTCTTCTCTAGTTGGGAGTCATCAAGGTGTTCTTTTCTCCTTGCTAAGTGGGAACAGGAGGGGCTGCAGAAGCTGTTGTCCCACCCACCATCCAGCCTGCCTCCGTGAGTGAGTGCAGATGCTGGCACACTGATGCAGAGGGGAGGGTGGCAGCGGTGGGACAGATGGCTTGCCAAGATGTGCCTTGGGAGCGCAGCCTCCCAGGCACAGTGTTTCTCCAAGCACCACATGGGCCTCCCAGCTCCAAACTCTTGGAAGACATGACTGCTCTTTAGGGGCATGAACAGGGCTGATAGAGAGAGGCGGGGCAACACAGACAAATCGTGGGCAAAGCCCTTAGTCTCTCTGCTCCCTGGCTCCCACCTGTGAGATGAAGATAACAAGACCCATTCCACCCTACAACCCTCAGGAAGTATAAGCGATGCTACAACACAGACAGAAACCTCCACCTCTTCCATGTCCAGTGCCTTCCTCCAACTACTCTCTACCAGCAGAACTCCCCAGCAGGTTCCTACTGGCAGCTTGCTGGGCTTCCTATCCTCTCAGGAAGTACAATTCTACAAATGGCAAGGTCTTTGAGGGGAGATGTTTGGTAAATATGGGGCCTTCCAACCTTGAGATCCCCCAAGACTCTCTGGAAAGGCTCCTTGGGTCAGGAAGGATGGGGCCATCCCACAGCCCTCTGATTTCCAATAGTACATTCTGAGGAGTCAACGGCCCTAGCATCAGGACCCTTGTCTCTGAGGCAAGAGTCTGTGGCTCCTTAAAATATACTGTTTGCATATTACGGTTCGGCTTCACCTCATGAACCTGAGGTCCAAGTGTCCTTTCTAAAATTCAAACAGGAGTTATGAGTTGCTAGGGGTCAAACCAGCCCAAAGTCATGCTTTGTTTAGTACAGACAGTTGTAGTTTTTAATCAGGAGATATGATGTAAAAACAAAATGATAAAAAATGAGACCCCCAGGCCTACATTCCCATATAGTGAGAGTTGGCAGGACCTACACAGCAGTCTCCAGGTCACCACATCCCCACTACTCCCCATCACCTGCCACCTGGCCTCTTCAACACCTGCTTGGCCCTGCTGGCATCTGACCTTGCAACCTGAGGTGAAGCCTCACAGGAGGAAAACCAGGGGACTCTTCATTCTGCCTTTCCAAGCCCGGATGCCCTGTAGAGCTGGCAGTAAGGCCCATGAGGTGCATCTGAACCCAGCCAGCCCTGTCAGAGCTGCAGGCTGGGAGCCTTACCTCACAAGGCACCAAAACCCAGACTTCCCCACCCTGCATATCCAGGCTGCAGCTAGCAATGAACTCTCTCTCTCCCTTCACCTGGCACTGGATGGCTCAGGCTGCCTAATTCTTTCACAATTAAGGCACTTCAAAAAGGTTAAAAGGGAGGAATCAGCAGGGAGTGGGTGTGGGAGGGATGGAAGGTGGTGGGTGGGATGGAGGAATCTGACCAGTAATATTTAATAAAAAGCTTAAAAGCCACAAACAGGAAGCAGGCAGACTAAAAAGTCAACAATGACCTGACAAAGGAATGTGAACTCCAGTGGACTGAGGCAGTGTCCCTACACCCCTCCTCCCTCCACTCCCACCTCAGCACCCCGAGAGGGGCCCTGAATAAGACTCCTCTTGCTTCTTGCCTGCCCTGGGAACACCCCAGCTCTGAGTTTGCCTTGGGCTATAGGAAGGGAGCTCAGGGGAGGTCAGCATGATCCTGGCAGTCCCCAAAGGAGGAAATCATGAGCTCTTCCCTCTGCCTGGCCCAGCAGGGCCCCAGAGCTGTTTAGAAGGATGAGTACTCTGCAGTATGGCCCCCGACCCAGCTGAAGGATCCTTCCCTCCGAGAAAGCTCACACTAGCCTGGATAGGTGTAGGCACGAGGCCCTTGGGGACTGAGGTCTGGATGCTGGCCTGCCTGGCTCATGTTCCCTGGAGCCCAGAGAGTAGCCCTGTGGGCTCTAGTCTCTGAGGACAACCCACAGCCAAACGGGGATGCACAAAGACTCCTGTTTGGCTGAGGTGATGACTCAGAGCCACTGAGGAGCAGCAGGGAGGACAGGACAGAATTTCAGAATTTTAGAGCTTCACTGCTGGAGGCCTCCCATGGCTCGGTACCTCGCCTCCCCGGCCCTAGCCCCAACTTGACAAAGTCCTTAGGAGCTGCAAACAGGGAGCAAAGTGCCCTGGAGAAGCACAGCCTCTATGACCTGAGAAGGCAGGTGCCATCTCTGGGCAGTGGAAGGATTTGGGAAGGAAAGGGTTCCCTGACAGGAGAGGGAAGGGTACTCATGCCGCCTGTGAGCACCGAGGCAGCTGGGGTCTGTGTTTTCCAGCTGGAGCCAGGGCACCACCTTCTCCCGAGGAAATTTGACACAAGAAGCCATAAACTGACCTTGGTTGTTTCCCTGATCTAAACCTCCCCATGGCTTTCCATCCTTGCAGGATCACCCTTGAGTCCTGGAATTACGCAGAGGACAGTAACATGTCAATATGAAATCAGGTGTAGGCAAAGGTGTTTTCTGTAAAATTCTTCAACTTTGCCGTATGTTTGAAAATGTTCGCAATTTTTATTTTATTATGAAATACAACAGAATTGTACTGAATCAGTTGTATCTGGTACAATTGTGCAGGGGATAAAAGGGAGTTGGCGGAGGTGGCACACAACTGAGTCCCAGCTACTTAGGAGGTTGAAGCAGGAGGATGGTTTGAGCCTGGGAGGTCAAGGCTTTAGTGAGCTTTGATTGCATCACAGTATTCTCTTCCAGTGACAGAGTGAGACCCTGTTGCTAAAATAAAGGTAGTGGCTCATGGCCCATTCATATGAACACAGCCTTCAGTCCTCACAGCCCCTGGCGCACGGTATGAGCCCTGGCTCATGTCCTGCACATCTCTCTGCTCAGCACACTTCTCCCAAACACCTGGCTGCCAATGCACCTGGAGCTCATTGTCACCCCAGGGCCTTTGCATTCACTTCCCCCTTGCTGTGGCACGCTTGTTCTGACAACCCATGTGGCTCCCTCTCTCCCTCCATCCTTCCCTGATCACCCTATCCAAAGCAGCATGCTCGGCAATTCCATCCCGTCCCTGCTTTATCTTTCTACCTGGCGCCTATTGCCATCTGACAGGGATTTCTTTAGTATGTTTATTGTTTGCCCCTCCTACAACTGTAAGCTCCATATTTGCAGCACCAAGCACAATGCCTATGATGCAGAAGAACGCGATGCAGTGTAGGCTGAAAAAATAAGGATGAGTTAACTGACAAAATCCAAGGGCTCTCTTTCCAGCAGCAAACACACTCTTGGACGCAGCCCGTGGACAGGCCCAGCATAAACCCAGTGTGAGGTGCTGAGCCTGAAGTTCTGTCCTGGGCAAAGGAGGGGTGGCAACTCACATCCCTGGAAACCCTACTAGTGCCAGGATGGTATGCCAGGCCCCCACTGGTCTCTCTCACCTGTTCTCCTCCAAACTGCTTGTAAGCTCAATCTTACTCCCACCTCCACAGAGAAACCAAGGGGCAGGCCTGAGGCCCCCCCAGATGGTAAATGATGCAGTGGGAACTCAGATGCCAATCTTAATCCTGCTCAGACCAGACCTTCACTGCACGTCCAGGCTCTTCTCAGAACCCATACTGGCTTCCCAGCCAGAGGCCACGCCACCATGAAGGCCAAGTCACCCTGTGTCTCAGCAAAGGCAGCATTAGGAACCTGAGCCAAGGAGCGCTGTCTCAGCACCACCTCTGCCATTTCTCTGTGCCCTGCACAGTGTCCCTAAATCAGGAGGAAGTGGCTGCACTTACCTGGGATGTGGATCTTGAACTTGCCGCTCTGGCCGAAGGCACTGTCGATGATGCCCAGTTCCCCAGTGGACAGGTGCACCTTGAGCCCCACAAAGAGCTGGATGTTGGTCTCCTTTTTGAACAGGGAGCGGCCGATCACACTGTAGTCATCCATTGCCTGTCCCCACACACCCAGCCAGAGAGAAAGGGTATTAGTGGTGCACACTGAAAGAGCTGTGACCATGCCTAGCCCCAGCTCTCCCAGGCCCTAGGCATGGCTGGCTGCTGCCCCTCTAGGAACCCTGTGGGTAGTAGGGCGATGAGTCCACCTAACAGATAATGAAATATTTAGAAGCAGGGCAGAAACCTGAAACTGGCAGCTGCCACATTAACAACGGGCCCCTCAAAACAGGCACACTGTGAGCACTTTCCACAGATAGCATCTCAGTCCCCACAGCAGCTCTGTGGTATCACTTGACAAATGAGGAAATGGAGGCACAGCACAGTTCTGTCATCTCTCCAAGGTCACAGAGCACAGGGGTAGAAGTAGCTTTGAATTCATGCCCCTGTTGTGGTGTCCCCCCCCACCCCCCGTGGGGCTGCCACATGGCCTAGCCTGTCCCCAGGGCACCTGCCTAGACAGCCAACGGTACTCTCCTTGAAGCTGTCACAGACACCCAGGCCACTCTTGAGCCTGCATCCAAGGCCTTCTAGAGCAGACCTCCTTACTCCAATTTCCCCTCCCACAGGAGCCCCTGAGAGCCTGGCCTTTGTCTCCCACCTACTGCACACACCCTTATGCACTTCAGCCGGAGGCTTTACTCCTGCTTACCCTAGCAGTGCCTGGAAGCCCGTCTTGGCCTGGCCCACTTTTCCTCCATAGCCCTAGCTCCCTTCCTTGACAATGCCCTCCCTAGTCCAGGCGGAATTGCTAGTTTCCCCTGGCCCTGCTGGCCATGGCCAGGCCTTTACTGCAGAGCTTGTATCTCCTGCTGGCCACCTTGGCCACTGCTGTCCTTTTGTGGGTGCCCAGGCTGAGAGGAGGGACACACATGTCCTTGAAAAAGTCAGCTCAGTGGAGCCCTGATTTCACTATGAGCTATGTTCATCCTGAATCTTCTCCCCAGAGGCTTGATCAGGGACTGGAAGGGTCACTCCCTCCCTCTGAGCCTCTAGCAGCACCAGCCCAGGTACTGCCTTTGGGATGGCAGCATGGCCAGGTAGCCTTGCCTGCCCCACCCAGCTCCTCACCACCCCTGCTCTGTAGATCCTGCCTCCAATAGCAAACTTTCGTCCCATGATAAGAAGTGCAGTCTGGCAGCTGCTATGGAAATGACCAATGCACATACCATCTGGACCATCAATTTCACATCTAGGAATGCATCCCACTGATGTGCTTGCTGGAGAAGATGTCAGGAGAGGATGGGAAGCTGCCCAAGGTCACTCAGGGCAGCAGTGTTTATAGTAGCAAAAGCTGACAATGACTTAGAAGTCCAGCCTGAGTTCAACAAGTGGAGCATAGCCTCCAGAGATGACGATGTCACCACAGAGGAGAGTGGCAGCGTGTATGGACAGATACAGAAACTCCTAGGGTATTGTGTTTCATGTTAAAAAGCAGAGTGTGAGGCATAGGGCATGCCGCAGGCTGTGTATGGAAGGGGGCAAGGCAGGGCCGGATACACAGAAGCAATCAGGAGAAAGTGATGCCTCCAGGAAAGGGAGCAGGGCGCCTGAGGAGTTCTCACCATATCACCTTTTCACCTTTGGCTACTGAAATACATGAATGCATCACCTACTTACAAATAAATTAACAGAATTAAAAAATATGAAAACAAATCAAGAAGTGCCTTTCTTCTACCCACACACCAGGCGGACCTCCTATCCTCTCCTGACATCTTCTCCAAGGACAGAACATTTTCCTTTGATGGCTTCTGGTCCAGCAAGGGTGACATTTGCAAGCCCTCGTCCCACCCAGGCAGATTTCATCGGTTCTCATGCATCATGATCACCTCAGAGAGAGCTACTACTCAGGCCTCTGCACAGCTAGGCCCTGGGGATACATCTGACTGAGATATAAGACCTGCCCTCCAGCATTGCAGTGGCCAAAAACTGAAAAAGGCACAGAGTTTACTAAGAGCTTGCAACTTACTCAGAGAAACACCTTGTAAGAGGCCCCACCAGGACCAAAGGGATAATACAGGCAGGTGTCCTTAGCAGAGCAGTAAGTTCTCAACAAGTTGATATTAATATTCTTTTATTCCTACAAGAGCCTACCATGAAACAGGCATGTAGCTGTGAACAATCACATGGGCTAGAGGAAGATAACAGCATTCTCCCTCCACCCCACAGCCTACAGCCTTTGCACTACTCAGTGACAGATCCTATGAGCTCCCTGTCTCTGTGCAGCTCCTGATGCCCAGTAGGGCCCAGCCCAGGACAGGCTCAAATCAAGGCCTGGTGCCTATAGCGCCCCCTGCGGCCCATGGCTCTCTCTTCCTGTACTCCAGCCCCGACTCCTCTCCAATCTTCATCCTGCCCTGTCTCTCTTCAGAGCACAGATCGCCACCTGACATTATGTCAATGACCTTATCTGTTTACTTGTTTATTGCTTCCAACCAGGACAGAGGCTCCAGGCAGAAACATGTCCCTCTCCTCCATAGCTACATTCTCTGCACATAAAATAGGCGCTTACTAGCTATTCCTCGAATGTGTGAGCAAATGTTGCGTGAATACATGGCTATAGTTGTTGGTACATTTCCAAGGCTCACTCATGCCTGGAGCCTTTTTTTTTTAAAAAACAGCTTTATTCAGCTATAACTGATATACAATAACATGCACATATTTAAAATAAATAACTGGATAAGTCTAGATATGTGTGTGTGTGTGTGTATATATATATATATATATATATATATATATATACACACATGCCTGTGAAACCATCACCATGATCAAGCTAATGAACATATCTATCACCCCCAGGGTCCTCATAGCCCTGTTATGCATCCCCCCCCATCTGTGTGGTCCTCCTGTAATGCTCATCCCAGCTTGTCCACCAGGGACTCTACCCCCACCCAAGGCCCACCTTGGGCATTTCCTCCTTCAGACAGCTTCCCCGACACTGCAGGCACCTCCTCTCCCCTTGGCCCCCAGGATTGAGCCAAGACTCCTCTGTTCTGAGAGGCTGGCCACTCTACTCTGTCTTATCCCTGACAGCTGACTTGTCTGTTTCCCTCCCCAGACTGTGCGTTTTGCGAGGAAAGGGTTCTGTGTAACTCACGTGGCCCTGACCCACCACAGGCCTGGTGAATGAGCGCTCACTGAGTATGCAGAGGCCAACTGCACTAGTTCCACACATGGAGCCAAGGAGATGCTGGAGGTAGAAATATATTACTCAAGCAGATGTGTCCCAAGGACACGATTCATCTGAGAATGAGCCAATAGCCCAGCCCAGGCTAGTTTCCTCCTGTCTACATGGGAGAACACATTGACAGGGCAGTCCACGTCCCCAGTGCTGGTTCCCTCATGCTAAACACAGCAGGCCCATCGCTCAGACTCCCAGTGGGCCTGGAGGCCTGGCTCCAGGGTAATCAGAGCCTGGGATGGCAGGCATGCTACCTATTAGCCTTCCAGAGGACATTTACTGCATCTTCTCCCTTGCCCCCTCCTTTCTTTTGGCTATAAAATATTAACTTTAAAAAGCTAAATGCCACAGAGACAGCAGAGGATCCATCTTTCCCCAAGCCAGGGCCTTGCAATGAGGGCAGACTAATTTTATTAACTTCAGGGGAACTTCAAAAAGCTTCAGGGCTTTCATGCCAGACAGAGACGACCCCAAAGTTAGTTTAAGTGCTACATAAACAAAGGACTAGGGCCAGGGGAAGCTGAGGGCTCCCAGCGTTCCTTGTTTATGTTCTCATCTGACCTAGTGGGCCAGTGTGCAGGCTGGTTAGCCCCTGGAATCCTGCTGGTGTGTGGTGTGGCTCGGTTCACTGACCTACATTCCCATAATATTGTTTTAAGCATCTGGGATAAGGTGAGGATCGAGTGAGCTTTTTTTGACCTCCTGAGGAGGGACTCTGGGGCTGGAGTGGCAGTTTAGAAAAGATTTCAAGTTCAAAGGGAGTGTCTCTGTCACTCCTGCTCTCTTGTTTTATGGCTTGGCCAGAAGACACAATAGCGCTGAGTGGGTAAAGCCTCTTTCGAACTTCTTTGTCTGCAGTTCCATTTGTGGGGGAGGCACAGGAGGGCAGGAGCTAGACTCGGGAGTGCTGGTGTCTAGTGGCCCCTCACTGTCATTTCACAGCAGCTGGGTGGATCTTTGCATTTGTGTCGGTTCCACAGAGGACACTGGCACTCTGGGTATGGCTGCCCCAGGGGAGGGGAGGCTGGGGCAGCAGAGAAAAGTCAGCAGGTAAACCCTATCTCCCTCTGACTTTCCGGATCCTCCGCATTCTGCTCTCTCACCCCTTTCCCTGCAGCAGGTGAGCAGCGGTGTCCTCAGCCATGTCATGGGTCAGGCACCCCCTATCATTATTTAGTCTTTAGAAAGGCCCTGTTGGGAACAGGAGGCTCAGCAAAGTGAAATGACTTGCTCAAAGTCATGCAGCTAGTGATTAGGGCAATGCCCCATTCCAACTTGGACTGTCTGGATCCAGAGGCTGGTGCTTTTCCTGCTGCACAGAGCCCCCCAAGCAGGGCTGCACTCTGTCTGCCCTGCACAGGAGCCCAGGGGAGGGGAGGGGCCACCGCAGCAAATGACCTTTCTCCATCCTTTGGGCTTGCAGAGCCATGCCATGACTGGCTAGACACAAATGGACTTGGAAGTCTGGCCCAGGGGCACTGGGCAGCCCCATCCCTGCCAGTCCCAGCTGTGGGAAACCCCAAGTCACTACAGAAGACAATCCTCAAGTTCAGGGACCCCAGTCCCCACTGCCAGGTTATTTAGAAAGGAGAAGGAGAGGAGGGAAAGAGGGCAGATCCTGGCCCTCAAGGGGCAGCACTTGTAGTAGGGCCCGAACACATCACCGTCACAGGAAGACTTCCCAGCCCAGTCAGCTCCTGCCACACTGAGAAGGACTGCACTGCTGTTGGAGGGAGGCTAAATTATCCCCACCTACAGTTATAGGGGCCACGAGGCAACCTACCCTTCTTGTGAATTCCAAATACTCAATTTCC